CTGTTTCTTTCTTCTGCATTTTCAATAATCTCTAAAGGAAGAGGTACCATGTATTTCATTGTTGAGTCCGCTGCATTTTTGTTGGTAACGAGACGCATCCCCCATTCAGATGCAACCTGCCATTGAGAAGTTAATGTGTACATACTAGAAAAATGTCAAAGGGTAATACCGTAATAACAAAAAAGATCCTAAGAACAACAGGGCCACACTACTCCGATTACCGACACTAATATTCTTATCACTATGCTATGATAATTCTATTATTAGTTCCCCACACAATGTTTATATATATAGTATATATCTAAAATAAACTGAGTTTAATTTTTAACAAATGATATATATTTACATAAATAATCAAAAATTAATTTTTAATAGTATTAATAGTATTTTTGTACTTAATTTCTCTCATAATAATGTTTCCGCGCATACATTATTATACTAAATGGATATAACTTAAAACATAATAGAAATCTTCCAACTATTTTGATGAGTTGCAATTGTTGTAAATTTTGGAATTTTGTTTCAATATCTCTGTACAAATGATATTACAAAGCATCTTAGTAAAACTGTTTGTTTAAAATTTTCAGATATGTAAGAATTAAAACAGGTTTGAATTGTTAGCAATAATTGACATAAATCCATACAACCTTCACTTAGTAGTGGAGATCTATTATAGACTAATAAAAACTTATACATAGAGTTCAAAAGGACACTTCAATATATGGGTATGATGCTGTACATATAAAATGCAGAAATTAAAATTCAAAATTCAAAAATAAAAAAAGACATTCCTTATGATGATGTTTGTTTATAATTAGAATATAAATTAATTGTTCTTGTTTTTAAATCTTAACACACACCCCTCATGCAATAGCCCTGTGTTTTCCTACTCATGTTTATGCTAAAACTTATCATCATTTTATCATAAGGAATCATACCTTATCAAGTTGTAATTTGAAAACAAGTAATATCTCTAATTTCACCTGATAAGATCAAATACTTGTATATATTATTAATTCAAAGTCACAGCTAGTTAGACTTATTGGTAAGGGCAAAACACATGAATCCAAAGAAACATATATAAAACACATCATCCAATGGATATAGACAAAGACAACCTTAAACTATCTCTTCCATGAAGTAACATATGTAAAATAGTTTAGCTCATTTATTTTATGTTTGTAATGCATGTTTAGATTAAAAGTTCATCAATTTATTCTATGTTTGGTATTGGAATGCATGTTTAGTGTATATTTAGATTATAAATGAAATTTTTATAATAACTATGCATTTGTAAAAGCTACGTTGATATATGAACCATGGTGTTTTCCATCCTTTATATGATAAAGAGTAATGTATAATTTATTTCATTTTAGAAAACCAAACATGATAAAGAAGGATTGGGTGGAGTTACCTCCACACAGTCAAAGTTATAAGGACGGTGTAAATTACTTTTTGGATATTGCATTCACTAAAGGAATGGTTGAAGAAGAAGAGATTTTGTGTCCTTGTTCTATATGTTGCAATGATAGTTGGGAAGTAAGAGATGTAGTGTATGACCATTTATGTAGTAAAGGATTTGTAAAGGGATACACTGAATAGATTTATCATGGTGAAGATGAGAGCCTTATAGATCTTGATGGTGATAGTGATGATGAAACATCATCTCATGATGATATCAATGGCTTACTATTTGAGACATTTAAAGATGTGGCTAAAGGAGGTGGAGTATATGAAGGGATAAATGAAGATGCAAAGAAATTTTATAAACTAGTTGATGATGCAAATCAAGAGTTGTATCCTGGTTGTGAAAAGTTTTCCTCGTTATCATTCACTATTCAAATTTATTTGTTGAAATGTCTCCATGGATGGAGTAATGCATCATTCACTGCTCTCGTAGAGTTGTTGAAAGAGGCTATGCGAGATTTGAACATCCCTGTATCTTTCAATAAAACAAAATCTATGATAAAAGATTTGGGCTTAGACTATAAAAAGATTGACGCATGTACGAACAACTGCATGTTGTTTTGGAAAGATCATGGGAAAGATGATTCATGTCATATTTGTGGCACGTCAAGGTGGATTGAATATCCTGAAGTTGCTAATGATCATGAAGAATCTATAAAAGCTCATAAGGTTCCCGCCAAAGTTCTAAGACATTTTCCATTGATTCCAAGATTGAAAAGACTTTTTATGTGTTCAAAGACAGCTGATACATTGAGGTGGCACGCAGACCATCGTTCAAAGGATGGGAAGTTAAGGCATCCAGCTGATGCCCAAGCATGGAAAGACTTTGATGCCAAACATTCAGATTTTGCTCGTGAAACTCGTAACATCAGACTTGGGTTGGAAAGTGATGGGTTTAATCCATTTAGGACCATGAGTCTTTCACATAGCACATGGCCTGTTGTATTAACAATATATAACTATCCGCCAAATTTGTGCATGAAGGCTGAAAATTGTTTGATGTCGTTACTTATTCCTGGACCAAAGTCACCCGGAAATGAAATTGATGTGTATTTGCAACCACTAATTGAGGAGCTTAATATATTGTGGGAAGTCGGTGTAGAAACATATGATATTTCAAAAAATCAATCATTTCAAATGCGTGCAACTCTTATGTGGACTGTGAGTGACTTCCCTGCATATGCTATGTTATCCGGTTGGAGTACTAAAGGGAAGTTTGCTTGTCCTGCTTGTAATCATAAAACTTCTTCAAGATACTTAAAACATAGTCGAAAGATGTGTTATATGGGTCATCGAGTCTTTTTGGATTCAAATCATAGTTGGAGATCAAATTCAAGTTCTTTTGATGGAAAGCCAGAATATAGGTCTGCACCCTCCTTGTTAGAGTCAACAATGATTTTAAAAGACTTAGAAAAGATTCCTGACGTAGTGGGGCAAAAATATCATAAAAAAGGCCTGGTCCATGGAAGAAAAAGTCTATCTTTTGGCAATTACCATATTGGAAGGATAACTCTTTGCGCCATAATTTAGATGTTATGCATACAGAAAAGAACATTTGTGATAATATAATGGGGACTCTCTTAGATATTGAAGGGAAGAAAAAGGATCATGCAAAAGCTCGTTTGGACCTACAACACATGGGGATTAGAAAAAAACTCCATTTGAAGGAAACAAGTGATGGTAAGAAAACTCAAATCCCTAAGGCATGTTTCTCCCTAACAAAGCAAGAGAAAACTATTTTTTGTAATGTTTTAAAGACAGTAAAACTTCCTGATGGCCTTGCATCCAATATTTCTCGATGTGTTCAAGTTAATGAAGGAAACGTTTCTGGATACAAGAGTCATGATGCTCATATTTTATTGCATTACTTGTTGCAAGTAGCAATAAGAGGGATATGCCCTAATCAAATTGTTATCCCTTTGCTTCAACTTTGTTCATTTTTTTGGTGTTTATGCCAGAAGGTTATAGATGTGAAAACATTGGATTACTTGGAAGTAGAAATTGCTGAAACACTTTGCCAATTCGAGCGTATCTTCCCTCCGAGTTTCTTTGACATAATGGTTCACTTACCAATTCACCTGGAAAATGAAGTCGGATTGGGTGGACCGGTTCAATTTCGATGGATGTATTATATGTAAAGATATTTGGGTGATTTAAAATCTTTTGTTCGTAATAGGAGTCGTCCAGAGGGTTCTATCGCTGAAGCATACTTAGTTAAAGAATCTCTAACATTTTGTTCAAGATATTTGTCTAGTGCTGTAGACATAAGGATGAATAGAATGACACGAAATAACGATGATACCCCAAACATAGGTCATCCAATCGGGGGAAAGGAACTAATTTCCCTTGATCATAAGTCTCTAAACCAAGCTCACAGCTACATTTTATTCAATTGCGATGAAGTGCAAGAGTATATTAGGTACACTCATCTACTTGATACAAAATTTCATTCTCACTATAAGTTTTCTTTTTCTTTTGTATTAAAATATTAGTTATTTATTTTGTAGAGAGCATGAGGTTAATGATCATAATCCTCTAAAAAAAAGGAAGTCCAGAAAAGCTAACAATCAAAGAGAAGATTTTATTCAATGGTTTGAAACACGTCTCATGGATGAGAAAGTTACTGAATGGTTGAAGGTGTTGTCTAGGGGACCAAATGATGTTGTTAGAAGGTATTCTGGTTATGTTATTAATGGATACATGTTTCATACAACAAATCGTGAAGCAAGGCTTAAAACACAAAATAGTGGTATGACATTAGAAGCGGTGACTCAAGTTTATAGAAATGCGAAGGATGAAAATCCCAAAAAGATTTGTGTGACTTACTATGGGGCAATAAAAGATATTATAGAGTTAGATTATTATGGTCATAAAAAATATGTATTGTTCAAATGTGATTGGTTTGTGGATGAAAAGGATAAATATGGATCGCCGTTGGTTTACTTTAACAAAAAATGCTACAAAAATAATCCATTTGTGTTGGCATCTCAAGTTCAACAATGCTTCTTTATTGAAGATCCTTTAAACAAAAACAAACACTATGTTCTAAATGCACTTCCAAGGGAATCATTTGACATGGGAGAATCTTTAAGTACAGATGCCCAAGAATATGATATTTCAACAAATCTTAATACATTAAGGGATGATTGTGAAGTGGATTTGGTTAGGAAAGATTTTACGGATGATATCTTTGAAATTCCTTTGTCAGAACTTCACAACAAAAAAGCAATAGAGAGTGATCATGGTGACACGAGTTATGGAAGTGACGATGAAACCAATTATGATTCTAGTACTGATTAGGTAGCATTGACAATGTGTTTTACCAATTTTTTAAATAGATTTTGAGTAGAAAATAGATTTGTTCAAAGTTTAATTTATGTTTAAGCATGCTGTCATTTTTTTACTTAAACCATAATAAACTAGATTCAAATATACTGTTAATTTATGGTTATGCATAATGTCACTTTATAATCAATTTTTCATTATATAATTATGTAATTTTCCCCCTTTGTAGATCATAGTTGTTGGCCATAATGGACAATGTAAGAAGTGTAAAAGATGGTGGATCACATAGGAAGAGTGGTCAAAGTCCTACTAAAAGATTTGATTTTCCTTTTCAAGTAAGATCAAGTGCAGAATTGAGAAATAAAGTGCTACAACATGTTAAGAAAGAAAAAGTTGACAAGTTACATGAGATGCTACAAGTAAACAATAGAGAAAGGGTTCAGGAAATTATAGAAGTTATGGACGGTAAATCATTTTCTTGTTTCATTTGATTTTATATAAAATGATGTATGTTAAAGTTATATTTTGGAATTCCTTTAGATATATTATTCCTACTATTTTTTAATGAATTTTTACAAAAATTAGAAACACCAAAAAAAGGAACTCAACAAGAAAGAGTTCAAAAGGTTGATCACAATTTGGACAAAGAGACTATTGCAAAGAAAATGGAGATAGACAAACTCTCGCAATCAAAAGTAATGAAAGATCATGCACATGGTGACAAAGAAGTTGTACAAGGTAAGTGATTTTTAAATTTTTCTATTATGCATATATTACATGAAATTATTCCTAATATCTTTTGGTTAATTTTTACTAAAATTAGAAACACCAAAGAAAAGAACTCAAGTGAAAGCTACAGTGAATAGAGAAAGAATTCAAAAGGTTGATGGAAAATTGGACAACCACATTGCTATGAAGAAAGAAGATAGACCTAAGCTTTTGCAACCACAAGCTAAGGAAGTTTTTGCACATGGAAACAAAGAAGTTTCACAAGGTAGTTAATATCCTTGCATATACTTTAAATTTATATATTTCTTTTGATGACATTATTATGACGAGAAAATTACATTGAAACCAGGAATGCTGAAAAAAAGAATTCATGAGAATCTACTAGAGAACAATAGAGATAAAATTCAAAAGGTGGAAAAACCAGTTGCAAGGAGAATACTTATTTCTTCCAAAAATAAGAAACCAGAGAAATCTACTCTATCTTTGGACACAATGATGTCAAAAGCTGAATGCTCTAAAAAGCTAAACAGGGTGCCAAAATGCCCATCAATGTTGATTGATGATTATGTAGATCTTCACAAGTCAAAGGAAATGGATGCAACCAAGTCAAACAATGGAGAAAAACCGGGCAGCAGCGTTAACCGTAGCTCTAAACAAAATCAGCCAAAAAAAGGAACTCGACAAGAAAGTGTTCAAAATCGGGCAAAAGTCAACGAAGAAGATGCAATCACAAATAGAGAAGAAGAAAAAGGTAATTAGTTTCATATTTCATAATAATGATTTCATGTATTATTTACATATTGGTAGCAAACATGTGATATCATGTTGTTGTGTTGATTACTTTATAGAAACATCCCAAAGAAAAACTCGTGGGAAAACTTTGTGCAAAAAGATTCATGCAAGAACTTTGGAAGAGCGAGTAGAAGTAACCTTTAATGAGGATTTTAAGCCAATTGGTCCTAGTGAAAAAGTAGTATCTGACTTGAGCCTCTTCTTGGGAACATTGGCTAGGAACTCAACATTTTGTCCTCTACGTTACACCAATTGGTCAGGAATGCCAGATGATAATAAAAACCGTTTCTGGAGATATACTAATGTATGTTTTTATCTATGAATTTGAAAGTATAATTATTAAAAAAAAGTGTTTTATTTCTTGATCTTGTCTTATCTTATAATTTATGTAGCGGAAGTTTATCTTGCCGGTTGAAGCACGATATTGGATTGAGACCACTGTTAGAGAGGCATGGAGAAGATATAAGCACAAAATTAAGAAGAATCATTTTTTGAAGTATTCCAACATGACCGAGAGACTCAAAAATCGTCTGCCAAACGTGCCAATAGCCCAATTTAAGAGTCTTTGTGCTTATTGGAGTAAGGAAACTATACAAGTAAGATTAATAATTTTTTTATGTATGTGTGTGAATTTACACCTTTCTATGTATGCTATAATTAAGTAATATTTATTATAATAATTCCGTCAAATTTAAATGTAGGCAATCAGTGAAAATAACACTAGAAATAGAGCTCAACTAAAGTGGATGCATCAAATGGGTCCCAAAAACTTTGCTTTGACTCGTGAAAAAGTGGTAACTTTCTTTTGTTCTCAATAAAGTATTCCTTGTATGAATGTTTCTTTGTTCAATTAAAGTATTCGTGAAAAACTTTTCTTTGACTCGTGAATAGGAATTTTAATTCACATGATTTGTTATGGAATTATTTTGATTTGTGCAGCGTGAAAAGGAAAAAAGAGAGCCCACTCAATCAGAAATGTTTGTTGAAACTCGAAAAGGAAATAAAGGAAAGGAACTGGATGTAGAAACTGGAAAAGTAATTGTATGTAACATTGTTTATATAATACGTTTGCTTAATATAATCGGCCAACATTGTCTATAATAGTAGTTAATATTTTTTTTGGTTGTAATTTATGCTAGTCCCAACTTCAAGAAATGGTTGAAAAGGAGGAAAGTGATACAGAAGCTTTTAAAGTTGTTTTTGGAAAGGAGTGTCCAGGCAGGGTACGCTGTTATGGGAGAAACATAACTAAAACTTCCTTAAAGAGAAAGGCAGAGATTAATTCTTTGAAACAAGCCCACAGTGAAGAGGTCTCTACATTAAGGGACGAGTTTCAAGATAAGATTGATAGATTGCAAAATGATTTTAAGACCGTAATACAACAATGCAATCCTCAAATTAATATAGAGTCAATTGAAGATTTGTTAGGATTATCTCATGGAGATGCTAATAGTTCCCCAAAGGATATAAGACCGCAAATGCATTCATCTACATCAACTCATGCTCCATGTCATGGAAAGGTAACCATATATACCAATATTATTGATTTTATATTTTTCTAATTATGTTATAGTATCAAAATGGTTGTTAATGTATGCAAAAATTTGCAAGTAGTGACAACACCTAGAATGAAGTAAGTGGTTGAAATTGTTTAAGTAGTGACAACACCTAGAAGTGGCTGAAACTGTTTAAGATTTGTTATATGCAAAAGAGAAAAATCTAAATTTTCAACTTTAGACATATAGACTTAAAGTAAAATATTGAGTATTTTTTATGAATATTCCTGGTATGAGAAGATAAGTAAAGTAATATAAAGCCCACCCATGACATGAGATGTGAAGAATATAAACAATGTGTTTTGCTCATTGGTTTAGTTTTTATTTGTGCGAGGTTTAATTCTTGTTGATGTCTTAATTGTCCTTTGGACCAAAAAATATTTATGGTTGATGTGTTTTATTTTATTTTCTTATGCAGCAATGTATCAATGAAGATGTTGAAAAGGACGATATAAATGATGAAATCCAAGAGGACGACATGAATGATAAAATTCAACAGGACGACCTAAATGATAAAATTCAAGAGGACGACGTAGATGACGAATTTCAAGAGGACGACATAGATCTAGATGATGAATTTCAAGAGGACGATATAGATGGTGAATTTCAAGAGGACGACATAGATGAAGAATTTATGGAGGATGACATATCTAACGAATTTCAAGAGGATGATCTGGATGATTTACTCCTAGAAGACAAACTTGAGTGAGTTGGATGATTTACTCCTAGAAGACAAACTTGAGTGAGTTGGATGATGTCTTTTTTTTGGCTTGTAGTTGAAAGCATTATATGATTTTTGTTCTTTTGTTGAACTATGTTTTTAGTTATTTTACTAAGGTCATACTTCAAAGTATTAAAAGTAATGTTACGTTAGGCATTTTGTGTACTCTATATACTATATCTTGAATTAAAGTTTGAACTCGATTTTATTATATTACAACTTTTATGGATGTATGGTTTAAGTTATATAATCAATGTTATTTTTGATGCCAATTATTATTGACTATATTATTTTGATAATAATTGAAAAATTGTATATTTTATGTGGACATTATAAAACAACAACATATAAGCTATGGCTACACTTCAAAAACGATCTTCCTGATTCAGGTTTAAGGCAACAATTGTTAATTGTAGCCGAATTTGGCAACGCTTAAAAAACGTCGTCTCAGAGGCCGCAAATAATCGTCCCCTATTCCTTTTCTATAGGCGATGTTTTTCAAAAGCGTGCCCAAAAACCATTAAAAAAACGTCGCCTCAATTAATAGGCAACGCTCGCACAGGAGACGCCTAGAAAACGTCCCCTATTTGTTTAGGCAACGATTTTCATAGTTCTGGCAACGCTTTTCAATTGTTGTTGGAGAGGCTAAATGTTGTAGTGAGAAGAGAACCAAGAAGAAGAAAAGGGCCCCAATCCTACAGTTTCTGATAATGATACAGATTATGATGAAGAACAATATCCTCCTGCTGAAGATAGGTACAAACAACTTGATGACCGTTTGAATGCTATGGAGATTCAAAGGATCCCCGATCTAGATTTTGGAGAGCTGGGATTGGTATCAGGGGTGGTGATCCCTCATAAGTTCAAAGCTCCGGTTTTTGCTAAGTACGATGGAGTATCCTGTCCTAAACTCCAACTCCGCTCGTATGTCCGAAAAATTCAACCCACACCGCTGATAAAAAGTTGTTGGTACATTTATTTCAAGATAGTCTGTCAGGGACTCAGCATGAATGGTTTTATCAATTGGAAGGAGCTAATGTCCGAAACTGGGAGGACCTTGTTACTGATTTTTACAAGCAGTATCAGTATAACACCGACTTTGTTCCCACTCGTACTCAACTTAAGGGTATGTCTATGGGTGCAAGTGAAGGTTTTAAGGACTATGCTCAGAAATGGAGAGATTTGGCTGGAAGAGTCCACCCCCTTTGTCTGAAAGGGAGTTGGTTGATATGTTTCTAGGAACGTTGTCTGGTCTATTTTTCAATCATCTGATTGATAGTTTGTCATTTGGGTTTACTGAATTGATTTTGACTGGGAAGAGAGTAGAAGCTGGTATCCGAAGTGGTAAGATACAGAAAGGTACTTCATCAAGTGCAAAAAAGAAGCCTTTCACCGGTAAGAAAGAAGCTAGTGCAGTCTACGACTCAAGGAGCCAAAACAGACCTGAATGCCGTCAAGCAGTAAATGCGGTAGTGATATCAAGACCCACAGTTTCCCATAATGCAACAATTAGCAAAGAATGGAAAAACCGCAGAGACAGTACACTCGGCTTAATATGACCTTGTCTCAAATTCTATCACAATTATTGAAGACCAACCTGATAACTCTGAGGGAAGCCCCGAAGAATCCCAGCACCACATCTCCACTATATAACCCGAACACCCGCTGCGCCTATCACTCCGATAGCCCATGTCATGATACAAACAACTGTTGGGCCTTGAAGAATAAGGTGCAAGATTTGATCGAAGCTAAAGAAATTGAGTTTGACGCTCCGGAGAAGCCCAATGTCATGACTGCTCCCATGCCCAAACACGTTCGTGGAGTAAATGCTGTGGACAATGAGTTATTTGTGACCTCCGTGGAAGAAATTTCTACTCCTTTGATGACAGTTAAGAAGAATCTATTGTTGGCCGGTTTATTTCCGGGTTATGGCGAAGGTTGCCACTTGTGTTCAATTCGGCCTGCTGGTTTCCACTCATTGAAATCAGGTGTTCAACGCCTGATGGATAACAAAGAGATCCTATTCGAGAAGACTTTGATTCCGATAGTCCCAGTTGAAGATGTTGCCATCATAACCATTTCCGCCAATCCTTCTAAGGCTTCCTCGAGAAAGCTTGTTAGGATTACATCTGTTCCAAGAATTGCTCCGTTAATCATTACTATCCCGGGTCCTATCCCATACACTTTGGATAAGGTTGTCCCTTGGCACTACGGTGCATATGTGTATTACCATGGAGTAAAGCAAGACTTAAAGAATGAAGAAGCTGATGCTGATGTCAGCAATATTGTCGGGGCTAGCAAGGTCACCAAAAGTGGAAGACTATTTTCTCCCGAGATTTCCCCTCTGACTGTTCACAAACCTGTTGTCATTCCATCTGCTAGTACATCAGCTACTATCCCAGTGCCTATTACAGTCATCACCCCTGTCACCGAGCCATCTGGGACACGGGGCAAAGAAATCACAGGTGAACTTGCCCGGACGGAGGCACCTAAGAAGATCATTGTAGAAACCTCTAAGCAGGAGATAGAGGAAATTCTGAAGATTATCAAGAAGAGCGACTACAACATAGTCGAGCAGCTGGGGCAGACCCCGTCAAAAATCTCCATGTTATCCTTGTTATTGTGTTCTGAAGCCCATGCAAAGGATTTAATTGCATTCCTCAAAACCGCACATGTGCCGCAAGAGACTTCAGCTGATCAATTCAAAGATTGCGTAGCTAGCTTGACTGCCGACAATGGGTTGGGTTTCTCAGACGCAAATCTGATTGCTAAATGAAGAAATCACAATGATTCTCTACACGTCTCAATCGAGTGCAGGGGCACTACTTTGGCCCATGTATTAGTGGATACTGGGTCCTCTTTGAATGTTTTGCCAAAGAAGGCATTAGACCGTATGGACTGTGAAGGTTTGATTCTGAAGCCGAGTAATATTGTGGTCAGGGCTTTCGATGGGTCAAAAAGGATGGTGCACGGGGAGGTGGATGTCCCGGTTAAAGTTGGCTCTCAGACTTTTGCATCTACTTTATATGTGATGGATATCCGACCATCATATTCTTTCTTGCTGGGTCGCCCGTGGATTCATAAGGCTGGGGCAGTGACTTCTACGCTCCATCAGATGATGAAATATCCAGTAAAGGGGAAGATTGTTACGGTGCAAGGAGAAGAGGAGTACATGGTGAGTCATCTTAACTCCTTTTGCTATGTGGAGATGGATGGAGAGTTCACTGAAACCCTGTGTCAGAACTTTGAAGAGGTCCTCCAGACTTTGGTGTCGACTGAAGTTGCTGCTGACAAACCTCCGATGAAGATGGCTTCCCTCAAGGACGCCAGGGATGTAATTGAAAAAGGTGGGTGTGCAAATTGGGGTCAGCTCCCTGATTTCACACATAAGACTAACAAGTTTGGTTTGGGCTTTACTGCAGAGGCTCAAAGGGCTGTTCGGTGCGTGCGGATTGGATGACCTCCTCTGCACATCAGTAATCAGGGAGTGAATGCAATTGAGGATGATGAAGAAGAGTCAGATATTGACAGGTGGATCTACCTGACTACCAACGGTGGATTGAAAAACTGGACGGCGAAGGACTTCGTGCCCGTTTCTTTTATTACATAGTAATAGACTTTTGTTTTGAGATTTGTAACAAACAGTTTAAAACTTTACGGCCCGGTGCCTTGCCCGAGGCACCTTGGCTTTGTTTGTGAGGGCTTATTATTTGTCATTTTCATATATTATCAATAAAGCATTAGACGTTTTCTTGCATTACAAATTTTACGCTCCTTGTTTTTCCTTTCTATCTCGCACTTTATCAAAACAGCTATTGTCTTACACACACTCACATATCATAATGCAGATCCACATCCACTCTGGATCCCATCAATAACAACTCTGCTACTGCCAATTATGACTTTGAAAATCCGATCAACCAAGCCGAGGACGAAGGTGAGGATGATTGTGAAGTGCCTAGGGAACTTGCTAGACTGTTACTGCAGGAAGAGAGGGCCATACAGCCTCATGAAAAGCCAGTGGAATCAGTGAATTTGGGTATAAAGGAAGACAAGAAAGAGGTCAAGATAGGTGCGAATCTGGAGCCTAGCGTCAAGCAACGATTGATACAGATGCTACGCGACTATGTTGAGATCTTCGGTTGGTCTTATGAAGATATGCCTGGTTTGGACACTGATATTGTGATACACCGCCTGCCAACCAAAGAAGACTGTCCTCCGGTAAAATAGAAGGTTCGCCGTATGTGCCCTAAGATGTCTGAGAAAATCAAAGCTAAAGTCATGAAACAGTTTGACACGGGATTTCTAGCTGTCAGTTCTTACCCGCAGTGGGTTGCCAACGTTGTTCCTGTGCCTAAGAAGGATGGTAAGGTGCGGATGTGTGTGGACTATAGAGATCTGAACAGGGAGAGCCCCAAAGATGACTTTCCACTTCCTCATATTGATGTTCTGGTCGATAATACTGCACAACATAAAGTCTTATCCTTCATGGATGGTTTTTTTGGTTACAATCAGATTAAGATGGCTCCCAAGGACATGTAGAAGAAAACCTTCGTTACACAGTGGGGCACCATTTGCTATAAGGTCACGCCGTTCAGATTGAAGAATGCTGGGGCAACGTATCAGCGTGCCATGGTTGCTTTGTTCCACGACATGATTCACCATGAGATTGAGGTTTACGTTGATGACATGATCGCAAGGTCCCGGACTGAGGAAGAACACCTTGACCATCTCCAGAAACTGTTCGACAGGCTAAAGATGTATAAGCTAAGGTTGAACCCGAACAATTGCACCTTCGGGGTAAAGTCTGGTAAGCTACTGGGTTTCGTTGTTAGTGATAAAGGTATTCAAGTGGATCCTGCCAAGGTGAAATCTATACAGGAGATGCCGGCTCCCCGCACAGAAAAAGAAGTCAGAGGCTTTTTGGGACGTCTGAATTACATTTCCCGATTCATTTCACATCTGACTGCTACTTGTGAGCCAATCTT